TCATGAACATAAAAATCGGAGTGAGCTGCATTATAGGTCTTCATTCTGATCATGCTTAGAATTGGGTACGACGACGAAGACCAATGGCTCAATGTTATGAAGAATTTGATAAGAAGGATTTTCGCCAAGCTGGTCCTTTGATACTGACAAAAGAATTGAAAGGAGAAGTGGTACGACTTCACATCTGACACTTCATGGTCGACGAGTTTCACCTTTTCGATGCTAAAAGAAATCCATTGCAAGCAACAACTGGCAATGATGTTTTGCAGAAATTCGCTGAATCAACGAAGTCGGGTGTGATCTCAAAAGTGCAATACGATAAAGATCTGAATGAGATGGTCAACATCGGAACTAAAGTGGAAGTCGTCCCTTCTACAGTAAGTCATTCTTTTTCCGCCTTTGTTTTCGCTATAGAAGGAAGGAGAGCAAGTTACAATGGACCACTCACGATGTGTTGTCCGGAAAGTATTTTGTGAAACACATATTAAGTAGTTACTTGCCCATAGGATATTGGAAATGATAATAAGTGGTAAGGACCAATAGGGGCAAGGATAAGGCGAAATGTTAGTAAAACCACTAGAACCGGTCTCGCACGCCGGTCACGTTGATAGGGATGTGATCGTGCAAGTGTGTGAAGTGTTGCGGGTATTTCACGATGATATGAAGATATGATATGAAGCGGCGTCATCGCAATCAGAACTTATTTGCTTGCTTACGAAATCCATGATATTGGAATTGTAGATAAAAATAAGTGTACTCACAAGTGACAAGCCACCAAAAGAAGAGTTCATATTCATTAAAATTAGAAAAGAAGGGACACACATGGCGAAAATACTTTTGTTTTAGAATGCTCGCAACTGAACTATAACACCTTTCTTCGAGGTCAAAAAGAAGGGATACTTTGTTATCAGTAGAAAATCAGGTTCAAATAGGATTGGATTGCTCCATACATTTGAAAGGAGTAGATGTATAATACACTGGTGTGCAAAACTTAAGGACGAGATAGATAAATTGTCCTAACTTATTAACAATTAGATGGAATTGGATGAAACTGTACGGGCATAATGCTAGAAGCCCTACAGTCATGGGCACCGAAGTGGGCCTCATATGTCTTGCATCCGGCTTCAATCTGGAGCCTAAATGGGGTGGCCACCCAGAACGATGGGTATCGTGGGGCAGGACAAGAGGGGTGAACTAAGCAGGGAGAAGTGACTGTGGAATGTAGTGGTGTTCTTGATTACATCAAGTCTCAGAGACAACACTAGGGTGACTTTACGCGAGGAAGAATCATTGGGAAACTGAAAAAAGGAAGTTGTGTCCAGGAGTTTTGTGTCAACCACAGCATTGTTTTTTGTGCATGAGAAGCAATGTGGACCGCAGCCACTGCTGTCCCAAGAAGAGGAGGTTGTGGGTCACGAACAACCGCAGCAGCAGGTGATTGCTAGGTTTTGCTACAGGCAAAAATGGACCCACGTCAGTCACATGCTGCAGTTGCAAAAACATTTATCAGGATTGTAAGGCATGTAATCCCAGTCCGGACAGTGGCGCAGTGACCGCATAGGAGTGATCTCTCTCATCGACCAACAATACCTGTATTCATTTGAAATCCACGCCTCGGCTGGGACATTTGGTACGAGCCGAGACATTGGAGATGGACCACCGAATTGAAAAATCGCGTATTCTTCCCGGTCAAGAGCAAACTGAATGTGAGTAGTGATTCTGGACTTACCTGCATATGGGGAAAATAGGAACGTGTAATCTACCCAGGACCATCGTTTAACATGATTGTTTTGGTAGTGCATGCGACATGATGTGGGGAGGCATAAAGTTGTCGGGGCGTACTGATCCCCAACTCATGATCGCGTTACACTTTCTGATCAACGTGATTGTGGTGTTGTACCCTTCTGTCATGTGCATCTTTCCAAGGGTTCCCTTGCCCTCAGCTTCAATCGTATGGAGGGCAGTGTGCGAGAGTATCGAGCAGCCTGGGTGGAAAACTCTTGAAAAGTGAGGATTTTCGGTAATTGGTGAAGCCATTTATTTCCTCCAGTCTAATTCTATGGAGCACGTGTGGCGTGGATTCAGATGAGCTATTGTAGCACATGACCATGTGCCAACAATAGTCCTGCAGTTGTCAATCGCGGTCTCCAAGGAATCGGTCGCTTCTCTTCAAGAACTCTTAACCCATTGCGGACCGCGTGCTGCACCATGTGCAGCACGCCACCACGCGGAGAAGGATAGTAATCTTCGATTTTTTCAGCATTTTGCTAAGTTACAAAATCAGCAGTTTACTTTTTCAGACACAGGATATATCAATATTTGCGTACTGGTTAAATTTTCGATAGATTATTGGCCACTGATAAAAGAGATGACAAAAACCTACGGAGGTGCAATTATAACGGCGGTCCGCAATGGGTTAATAATCTTGCGGCCTGTATGGGAACACGTAGCAGAGCATACTTGCAGTCCGTAGTGTTCATCCATCGAGAACCCAGCTCTCTCTTCGTGTCTACCATGAGTTGGAGAAGCCTCAGCTATCGACCGCTTCAGACAGGGTATTTGCAGAAAAATGTCTTTTCCAATCGCCCCTTTGCGCTTTTCTGTTAGTAACTCTCTGCACTGTACCGCAACATTTACTTCTATATATGTGCCAAATTTGGTCCACCTAGGTTAACTAGCAGTGAGATATCATGTGAAAGTTACTTCCGTCCTTAAGTTTTGCACACCAGTGTATAATAGATGTATAATATGTATAACAACAGAAACATTTTATTGAAAAACCGACTTTCGGAAAAATCAAGTTTCAAGGCGGCCACAGAGTGCATAAGTGATACTCCTTGAGTGTCAAGTAGTACAAAGAGTCGAATTGTATCACTCGCTTCTAATCGATCAACCCAACCACGCTTGGGGCAGGCTGGTTACGTTTTTGGATTCAAAGTGGATCTGTGATGCAACATAATGGATATTATTTATCTTATTCACCTGCCAATCTGCACATGCTTTCCCGCTTATGACGATCATTAGAACACAACCTGGAATTAGAAAGGAACCCAACGCTCAATGTAATCACTGGAACCACGGAGTACTCGATCACGACCTCGGATACCTAGACGGGCAGACTAGGTTCCCATATAGACTATGAATCAATCTCATGAGAAAGCACAGCCCTCGTGGGAATGAAAAAACGAACTCTTTGGTAGCGTGGAACCTGATAGTTGTCTTGCTTCACTGAAGGTTATCGTGTGATGATGCATAATGTGGTAATTTTGAGGCTCCATTAAAGGCAAACCCCGGGATTAGCCCTAGTAGGAAGGATACCGCGAGGGAAATTGTAAGGTCCGTACCTACCTAGATCACTCCAGCTTCGTCGCAAAAATTGCGCGGTTAGGGCGCTAATCCTTACGGGCCTGCAACCATCGACCCCGTTCCAACGCTTCCCACCCACCGCGAGAGGTGGTGAGATCAGCGTGCATTGATGTAGAGATCAGCGTGCTCTCTCAAACGACGTGCTCTCTCGCGTATTTTGTCTTCTTTGATCGCCCTGTCTCGCCATCGTACCACATCCGACCTATTGAAGGTTAAGGCCTTAATTTCAGCGTTCCCAAAGATTTCTCTTGCTTTCCTTTCCACTTTCAGGTCGTTCCGCAGCTAAGCTATCACTACGAAGCGCTCGTAGCACCAATTTAATCCCAGGGTTTGCCTTCAAGAGAGCGCTTTTTTTCTAGGAATGATATTTTCTGCGACCTTCTCTTGATTAGATTCACCCAGGAGAGAGATCCATCAGTAAAATACTTTTGTATACTTTGAAAGGCGTAAGAAAGAAAATGTACTTAGATAGGATCTCTAGCGGTCCTTTCATAAATCACGTCTATGATTCAAGGAGGCAATGACGGCCATCTCCTCATCAGGTGGAGTCAAGAATGGAATAGCTTCTAATGTGAGTATGTTTTTATCCATACATTCGGAGTGAATATAAGAGTAAATATAATCCCTACTATATATAAAACGCTATGTCTGTCTGTACGTGTGTGTGTGTGTGTGCGTGTGTCACGAAATTCATAGCACGCGTCGCAGCAGTCGTTAGGAGCTGATTTTTTGATATGATATAGTGGGTGGGCGGGAACATATTTGGTGGGGGTTACAAAGTGATAACGACTGATAAGAGCAGATAAGAGGCGCTGAAACACAAATTTCACGAAATATATAATGCGCTTCGCAGCAGTCGTCAGGAGTTGATTTTGGGACATGGTATAGGGGGTGGGGCGGGAACATATTTGGTGGGGGTTGCAAAGTGATAACGACTGATAAGAGCAGATAAGAGGCGCTGAAACACAAATTTCACGAAATATGTAATGCGCTTCGCAGCAGTCGTCAGGAGTTGATTTTGGGACATGGTATAGGGGGTGGGGTACAAAGTGATAACGACTGATAAGAGCAGATAAGAGGCGCTGAAACACAAATTTCACGAAATTCATAGTGCGCTTCGCAGCAGTCGTCAGGAGCTGATTTTGGGACATGATATAGGGGGTGGGGACGGGAACATATTTGGTGGGGGTACAAAGTGATAACGACTGATAAGAGCAGATAAGAGGCGCTGAAACACAAATTTCACGAAATATATAGTGCGCTTCGCAGCAGTCGTCAGGAGTTGATTTTGGGACATGGTATAGGGGGTGGGGGGGAACAAAGTGATAACGACTGATAAGAGCAGATAAGAGGCGCTGAAACACAAATTTCACGAAATATCATAGTGCGCTTCGCAGCAGTCGTCAGGAGCTGATTTTGGGACATGATATAGGGGGTGGGCGGGAACATATTTGGTGGGGGTTACAAAGTGATAACGACTGATAAGAGCAGATAAGAGGCGCTGAAACACAAATTTCACGAAATATATAGTGCGCTTCGCAGCAGTCGTCAGGAACTGATTTTGGGACATGATATGGGGGTGGGACGGTAACATATTTTGTGGTTTTCAAAAAGTGATAACGACAGCTGAGGACTAATAGTAATGATATGCGTACGAACGTAGAGATCACTCGAAACCAGATTGGAATGCATTTCATTTCAATATCATTTCATTAGCGTTATAATTGTAAATTCAAACACCTTTCAACCGCTACACCTTCTAGAGTTCTTGAGGATGAATGGGATGCTCTAATAAATTTGATAGTGAATACTGGGCATTCCGTCTTGAGATTACCAAAAATTATTCGACCGCTAAATTTCCTCGATTCTCGATGCATGGTGGTTGTTTACATACATCACTTTAGCTGTGCACTTCACTGCGCTTATCAAACAGTGAGATACAGCCAAGATGGAGCAACGGACAGTAATGCATTTAACGAAGCAGCTATAGTTAAGCGGTGAAGACCCAAAGCTTCACCGATTCTCAGTCCTATCAAAGGCTTCCGTGTCATGCGCGCGGTAGCGGGCGGAGCTAAACTGGTATAGCAATAACTTGTTGACACATCATTCGGAAAAATGCCATAGTGATGAAATACTTCGTGTTCAAAAGCAAAAAAAACAGTGCGGGAGTATCCAAATAAATATTTTTCTGCCACCTAAATCGCTAGGTTGAAATGTGCTTTATTCGGCGTGAGTCTCAAATGAGAAAATCGAAGCTAATAGAACAAGGCCCAGACTGTGAGGTCCATTCCTTATCGTCGTTCATATGACCGCAAAAGCCACCTCCAACTCACCATGAACAACACCTAGCTTAGGTTCGAAACAATTTCGTTATGTTGGCGTCGTAGGTGCAGGAGAATTGGAGAAATGAAGGGGATGGCAAATATCAATCGCCAGTTAGGCGATGTTCGAAACAGCGTTGATGATCAATTTTATGCAGAACAACCCGTACTTGCGTACGTATCTCTGCATCTCTTCCACAAGCTGTGCACCTTCACAAGTGTCGCAGGCGTAAAACGTACGGCGGCTGCCATGGGACAAAACGGGCTGCTAAATGGTGGCGCACACTTCAAGTGTTCATGTCAATTGACTGAATCATAGCATACCGTGCCGAGGCTTCCCAGCACTATATAAATTAGGAGTCTTGCTGAAATTTCTCTTGTAGCACTACTCCCTGGCATTCACAAAAATGAAGGTTTTCCCCATCGTTTTTCAATCCTCACTATGATACTTATCAAGGGAGATTCGCTTTCAGCTCCGATTTCGGTAAGAACCTTCAACGCCTTTCCCAGCAACAAATGAAGCGTGGTAATACAGAACCCAAGACCACGTACACAGAGCACTCCGCAGATGTGCAAGAACATCAAAGATAATGATGGCAACAGTGTGATCCTATAGCAGGAACCCAGCAGCTGGGTACCGGGGAAACGAGAATCACGACGTCAAACAAGTGTTTACACTCTGCCATTGTGCCGTTCATTGTTGGTGCTCCTTGACTACCACCGGTAGTCAAAGGGACTGCCGAAGTTTTCAATTTTCCTTGGAGAAGGGATACCAATTAAGACGCCATTTGTGCACAATTGAATCTCCATAATTCACTTTTTCACTGGCTGGCACATATTTATGCCAGGTGCGCTACAAGTGCGTTGCTTGCATCATATGTAACTACCGTATGGATACTTTTACTCTACTTTTGCAATGCATGTTATATAAAACTAGTTTAGCTTCACACACCACCGCGCGCACGACGCGGGCTTCGGTGAAATTGGACAGCCGATGGAGCGTTAGGTTTCACCGTCAAACAGTAAGATTCTTGGTTGTATGCATCGGCTGACCGTTGCATAGACTATCCATTTTAGCCCAAGCTCTGTTTTATATGCGCAGTGAATTATGCAGCTCATGTGATGTCTGTAAACAACCACTGTACGTCGAATGTCAGTATAATCAGAGTCAACCGTGCGTTGCGCAGTTCGCAACGGCACGTTGAGAGATCCTCAACGCACGCTGTATGGGCGGAGACACAGACGGCTCGAGCATGCGAGTGTGAATGTTCGCGCGAGAGAACGTGTCTAATCGGGCGAAACTGCGCAACGCAGGGTTGACTCTGAGTATAATTCAGCGGCGAATAATGTTCGGTGCTATGAATTAGCACCGAATTATTTTGAGCGACGATTCTTTTGAATGGAAATGTCCGGTGCTCATTATCGTATTTATTCGAACATCGCATTGATTCATGGTCAATCCGAGCAGTGTCGCCGTGGGATGGTAATTTAGGCTGACGACGACAACCTGAATGAAATGATATCGAAATGGAATGCATTGTTCGGAAGCTGGTCTCAGTGGCCTCCATGTTCTTATACAAATCGTTAATATCGGTC